AACGAAAGGAAGGAGAAGAAGAAAAAATTTGAGCTTCGTTTATGAGTCTTGTTAGATTGATATAGAATCGTAAAGCTTTGGTCAACGAGAGTAAAACCACCTTTTTGAAAGAGTAGCGTGCAATACCAAACAATTAAAAAGTATCCCTTGAAAAATTCCTATCGGTGTCTATTCTGATCTTCCTAAACAAAAATAGCGGCATGCAGGGATGAGATTTTTTCGCTTTATTCGCGTTTGTCTCTCGAGTTTCAGCCTTATAATCCAAAAACTCCGATTCTCTAAAATTTTCGAGTTTTCTTATCAATATTCCGCTTTCTCTGAAAATTCAGTCGTTAAAATAAAATAATTATTTGTTTCTGATTTTCAAAGATAAACAGAAAATTCAAACTACGTAGCTGCCAACCCTTCCGCATTTTTACTTATTTTAGCGGTTTTCTCCGCTTTTACGCGCGGACAACAAGATTTTCTGCATTTTTACCCGTTTGCTTGATAGCTCGTATTTTCGTAATCCAGACATCGCTGCATTTTAATATCAAACATCGATTTTCATATTAACCTGATTTAAAAGTTGCGCGTTACGATTCTTATTCACGCGATTTCAATGTCGTACATTGTAATTCTCATTTACGAGATTTAAAAATCCATTATCGCGATTTGTATTTACGCTTTTTGAAAATCTATGTAGCTATTTGTATTGACTCGAGTTTAAATTCCAATGCCGTGATTCGTTTTTGCGGTTATAACATCAAATATCGATTTTCGTATTTATACATGATTTAAAAATTAGGCTTTGGATTCGTATTCACGCAATTTAGAAATTATGCATCGTGATTCGTATTTACGCGATCTGAAAATTACGCATCATGATTTGTATTTTTACATTTTTGAAATCCAATTTTGAGTTTCAAATTCGCGTGATTTCAAAGTTCAATATTGTGATTCATATTCTTGCGATTTTAAAATCCAAGATCGCTATTTGTATTCTCTTGATTTTAAAATCCAAGATCGCGATTCTTGTAAGAAGTAAATTTTTTTTCTTGAATTAGTTTTTGTAAGGCAGTTTTTCTATCAAGGATTATTGGTATATATAGGCATTACAACATCAGCAAAACTGGATGAGAATATGTTACTGATATTTTTGCTATAAATCACGTAAGATTTACTCGAGTCAAAATTCAGCTTTTTTGCCTTTTGGCCAATCTCATCCCTGGGCATGGAAAGTTAGAATTTATAATGTTGAAAAATATGTAGAGAGAGTCACTGGATTTTTTTTAAAAAACATTTTGTTAGATTCTTGAAAATTTGTTATTATATTCAACCAAATTTGTTTTTATTCAACTTCTCAATATCTTCCTTCATAAAAGGTAAATTAAAAAGTAATATTTGCTACTGTATTAGTAAAAATCAAAAAAATAAGCGTTTAATAAGAGATGAAACTGATTTTTCTAATGCATTATCTCTTTCGTAACTATACCTTTAAGACACCCTAGCAAAGGGATGCACAACCTATAGCTCACGGGTTAAAGTTTATGACTTGGTTTCTGTGCAGTTTTAATTATTGATTATTATTTAATAAAATTTATTATTATTCATTTAATTATCATTTAATGAAAAAGATAAAAATTAAGCTAGAAAGACTTTTTTGTTATATCTTAATAAAAAATACAGTTGTAGTAGAAATTTTTTTTTTTTAAGGTTTATCCTGCTTTTTTTATTCTCCTTTTCTTTAAGTGCAAGCCTAAACCATTAGGTTGTAGGGAAATGTAATTGTTACAAATTTTAAATTCTATTATGATTACGAATAATGCTTATTATTTTTCATTCGGATCTAAATATGCATATTTACGATTACAGGTTTTGTGTTACTTATAGTTGCCCCAGAAATAACGTTTTTTAGTTTTTAAGACCATCTGTCAAAAAAGCAAAGTGTATCTATGCTCGAGCTAATGGAATTAGTATGTTGAAGAAAAGTAAATGAGATTTAAATAAATTAAATTAATATGATTTATTTATTACCTTTTTATTTCAAAAACTAATCTTAACAGTTTGTTTCTTTATGGCGTCTAAGTGTAGTAATATTAATACTGTCTATCGATAACATCTTTTCTTGTGTTATATCTTGAAGAAAATGTCAAAAGATGCGAGTATTTGATTTTTTGTTGAAATGATCATCCTAAAGTTAAAAATAAAATTTTAAAATTTAATCTTGATTGTTTAGAGATGCTTATGTCAAAATATTTAAAAATTGAAACAAGAAAAGAATAAAAAGATATATCTTTTATTCATCATTTCATATAGGGTTTTAGTCTAAAAGAGTTAAGAGTTTAAAACTGCTGTGGGCAAGTACCATAAGAGTCAAATTGTATATTGTTATAAACATTCTAAATTAAGTTAGTTTATAATTTTATTCTACACTACTAAACACACTGCTGAAATGGTAAGATTGGTAAATTCATTGCCTTATACAAACAATTTCTATTTTTAAATTAAATAAAGAAAAAAATATTCGTATTTTTAAAAAATGCATTTTTTAATGAGAGTTTAGATTTCTTCAGGTTCAAGTGTAATTTATAGTTCGAAAGATAATTTTAGTCTAATTCTATATATAAATATAGCCCATCAAATCGCATTGTAAAATAAGTTCACATTCCAAACAATTTTGATTTCTCTTTTAGTGAAATAAAAATTGCATTAATTTTTAGCTTCTTCTACTTTTTTTTTTCAAAATGTGTAATTAATGAAATCTAAGGGCAGACAGAGTGAGCTGAAAATGCTGAGGGAAAACACTGAACATTACGGTGAATGCTTTATTGTAAAGCTGCGTTAACTCATCACATCCTTAATGTGTATCGCTAATCATAAATGTAGCTGCTCTGTTAACTGGCCTTATTGCTTGAATAAAAATGTACCGCCAACTTGCTGAACATGTTAAAAAAAAAATTATGTTTATCACATGTTATTTAATCTATTTTTACTGGTATATAATATATATATATATACACCACTGAAATTTGATCTGGACTAGGATACTACTATATCATCAGTGATATAGTAGCAATCAGAGTAAAAGAGTGGTATGCTATTTTTGCTTTTATCTGTGTTTTTGTCACAAAGTAGCATATTGCACCTAATTAAAACCTTATCCATTTTTCTATTATAATTTTTCATTTAAATTCACTTAACATTTTTCGAGCAAATCTTATAAAAACATTTAAAAGGGCCAGAGAAAATGTGAATTCGCTAATAACATATCTTTTTAGATACTGATCTTTCAAATTAGTGTTTTTTTTTTTAAATATCTACCCCTGGTAATTTAATGCTTCTTTGTTCATAGACAGAATATTATTATATTTGTTGGCATAATTTAAATATTTTACTTTAATAGTTATAATAGAATATATGCAATGAAGTTAATGAAAACTTTTTCTGTTTCTTCCCCAAAGGTTATTATTTGGATTGGGAGGCATTGCTCTGAGTTTAATGGCATTTGAAGATAACCAAATATATTAGCCAAGAAGAGGTGATCTTAAAATTTGTTTCCACTGCCGACGTGATTGAAGACATATTTATTATCTTATCGGCCTATAATTATTCTCCCTGGTATTTTAAATGCCATAATTCCCTGATATTCTTTATTAATACCATTGTATAACTTTTTTGTATTTGTAATAACTTTACTTCTGTTCTTTGTGTCCACAGCCTTTTAATAGATTGACTAGTAATATTGAAACCTAACAGTAGCTCCGTAACTCATTCTGCAGAGATAACATTCTTGTGAAATTATAATTGCAGTTTTAAAAAAAAAAATTTTTTTTAATTAAACACAAGTCAGTTTAAATTTTAAAATTGCAGTGTAAATCTCTTTAAAAAGATAATTTATCTATACACAGTATAATACAATGTGGGATTATATAGAATATAAGTTTTTAAGTAGACAATGACTTGCATTGGTCAAAGGCAGTGTTTCTCAAATTTATGACTTTTGTGTACTCTTTCTAAATCTTTTGTAACATTGTGTACCACTAATAAAAAAAATGAATGTATTTTTTACTCTAAAAAAATTACACAAAAGTTAAAAATCGCAACTGGCTGTTGACGCTACTCATTATGAACTGTAAACTCTGCAAAAAATAGCCAATAGAAAAATACGTAATCGTAAATTTTCATGGCTATCTTTTTTCTTTTTAATAAAAAAAAATCTGAAATTTTCATTTTTTTTTCAAGTTATTTTGCATAAGAACGCCTACCCCTGCTAAATTGTTCCCGTACCCCTGGCGATATGCGTACCACACTTTGGGAAAAACTGGTCTAAGGTTTATGCTGTTAAGAAAGCTTACTTATCAAGAAATAAGAGTTCTACATAAAAAGGTCAATTTATTTGATACATTCATGCTCATACTGATGAGAAACCTTATTTTTTGTAGTACTTGTATTAACAGTTTATCAAACAGTAATTATCTGAATGAACACAGTCTTATTCATACAGGGAAAAACTCTTATTTTTGTAGTGCATATGTTATAAAAGTTTTTGGCATATAGTCATCTGTGCAAACTCAGTTAGTGTTAATACTGCTGAGAAGCCTTTTTTAAACAATTTTTCTCGTAAAAGTTTTTTACTAAAGGAAAATTTAACAGTACACTATCTTATTCATACTCTTGAAAAATCTTATTTGTATAGTTTAAGCAATAAAAATTTTTATCAAATGAGTAATTTGACAGAGCACAGTCGTATGCATACTGGTGAAAAACTTTACTCATGCAGTGTTTGTAATATAGCTTTTGTACAAAAGGTTGAACTTACTCGACATTTTCTAGTTCATACTGGGGAGAAACCTTATTTCTGCAGTATATGCAACAAGAGTTTTACAAGCACTAGCTGTCTGTCTATGTACAGTCGTGTTCATAAGGGGGAGAAACATTTTTCTTGTAGTACCTACACATAATAAAAGATTTTCACGGAAGAGTCAGCTGACAGAGCACGGTTTTGTTCATTCTGGTGTGAAACCTTTTTCTTGTGGCATATGTCATAAGAGTTTTTCTCAGAGAAATACTCTAAACATGCATACTTGTGTTCATACTGGTGAGAAACCTTATTCTTGTAGTATATGTAATAAACGTTTTTCACTGAAGAGTCATCTGACAAAACACCATCGTATTCATACTGGTGAGAAACCTTTTTCTTGTAGCATATGTCATAAGAGTTTTTCTCAGAGAAATACTCTAAATGTGCACACTTGTGTTCATACTGGTGAGAAACCTTATTCTTGTAGTATATGTAATAAAAGTTTTTCACAGAAGGGTTATCTGACAATACACCATCGCATTCATACTGGTGAGAAACCTTATTCTTGTAGTATATGTAATAAACGTTTTTCACTGAAGAGTTATCTGACATATCACCATCGTATTCATACTGGTGAGAAACCTTATTCTTGTAGTATATGTAATAAAAGTTTTTCTCGGAAGGATCGTCTGACACATCACCATCGTATTCATACTGGTGAACAACTTTATTCTTGTTTTATATGCAATAAAAGCTTTTCACTGAAGAGTCATCTGACAACACACCATCGTATTCATACTGGTGAGAAACCTTATTCTTGTAGTATATGTAATAAAAGTTTTTCACATAAGAGTTATCTGACAATACACTTTCGTATTCATACTGGTGAGAAACCTTATTCTTGTAGTATATGTAATAAAAGTTTTTCACAGAAGATTCAGCTGACAGAGCACAGTCTTGTTCATACTAGTGAGAAATTTTATTCATGTAGTATATGTAATAAAAGTTTTTCACAGAAGAGTCATCTGACAAGACACCACCTCATTCATACTGGTGAGAAACCTTATTCTTGTAGTATATGCAATAAAAGATTTTCAGAGAAGACTAACCTGACAAAACACCATCGCATTCATACTGGTGAGAAACCTTATTCTTGTAGTATATGTAATAAAGGTTTTTCACGGAAGAATCATCTGACAGATCATCATCGCCTTCATACTGGTGAAAAACCTTATTCTTGTAGTATATGTTATAAAAGTTTTTCACGGAAGGGTAATCTGACAAAACACCATCGTATTCATACTGGCGAGAAACCTTATTCTTGTAATATATGTAGTAAGAGTTTTACAAGGAAGGATATACTGACCGAGCACACTCTTGTTCATGCTAGAGAAAAGCCTTGAAGTAATGAAATTTTTTTAAAAAGTACTTGTCTGACTGTGCACAGGCGTACGCATACTGATGAGTAATTTATTCTTGTAGCATTTAAAATATCAGTTTTTCAACGAAGAGCCAGCTGACAGAGCAAAGTGTCAGCTGTGTCATCTGAGGAGAAATTTTATTCTTGTTATAAATGTAATAATAGTTTTTTCAGATAATTAGTGTGATTGTGCTCAAGCGTGTTCATATTGGTGAGAAACTGTATTCTTGAATGTATAAAGTGCTGTTCAAAAAAAAAAAAAATTAACTAAAAAGAGTCACTTTTATATTGGTGGGAAACTTTAATCTTGTAACTTAGGTAATAAAGTTTTTCCCTGAGATTTTCCCTAATAACTCTCCGAATTTTTGTTTATGCTTTTGTGTAACTTTATTTTTGCAATTAGTTATAATAAAAGTTTTTTACTATATAATGGTCCAGCTGTTCAAAGTTATTTCAATTTAAAAACCTCATTCTAGTGCTGCATGTGCATAAAATTTTATGAAGTAATTTTAATGTCTACTGACTAAATTAAAAATTTTAACTTCTGATGAACCTTATTTTTGCAGTTGGCTAAATGTGACTGAGATAATGCAAGACATTACCTTAGAGGAGTAATTTAGGTAGAGAGAACCAGTCCCCCATCCCTCGTTGCAAAGAACATCGTCACGTGATTCCTGGACGATTTTCCCTCCAGTAAACCCTCTCCCCATTCTTTTCCTATGGAGGTGAATTGATAAGCTGTGTTTTTAACTATAAAATTTAAAAAAAATGATGGTATACTGCTGTGCATTTGGATGCAACGAAAAATTCATTAAAGGAGGACCTTTTACATTTCACAAGAAAGATTTTTATTCTTTTATATTCAATTATAAACATTTATTTTCTATTTATATGTTAGCACGTCAAGTTATGGAATGAATTTAATTGGTTTTTAACTAGCAAAATAGCAATTATTTTTTTATATTTTTATTTAAATTAATAGATTATAATGTAGTTAACATTGATAGGCATTTTCATTACAATTAAATTTCATATTGGTACAAATATTCTGATATTTTTACTCCTTTTCTGATAAAGCGCGTGCATCGGATTTGGCGCATTTTTTTCACGCCAACGTTTGCAAACAGATCGCTTTAATTTTCGCTCTGTAACTTTTATTGATGCATTAAAATAATTTTTTGTAATAATTTCAAGCGAATTTAATTATATTAAATGATTTAATTATATATTTAATACATTTCATGCAAAAAATAATTTTTTGGATCAAAACTAAAATTATCTTTTAGAAATTCCGTTATTAAATAAAATTTATAAGCCGAAGAATATATTTCTTATTATTTTATTATATAGGAAAAATTGTTTGGATATTCATATTTACTTAGGAAGCTTTATATTTATTACTGTACATTTATTATTGAAGAAAATATTAACTAGGTTATTATAGGTTCTATTATTAATAATAGGTCCTATTATTAAATAATTGTTATAGGATTATAAAAGGTGTGGCTATTTATTATTATCATTATATGTATTTAATTTTGATTTCGAGAAATAAAAAGGGAATNGGTGCACAGTTTGATTTTAACAAATTTGATAATTTGTTTTATTATCCATCAAAAAGTGGTATTGAGCCAATTAGTATATACTATGTATATAGTATATATACTGGTTTGAAATGGTAGAATATGCTGTACAGAACATTTTAATTACAATTTCACTATGATTCCAATTTTGGTCAAATCTGAAAAAGCCAATATGTTAGGGACAAAAATTAAATCTACTCATGCTTGTGCAGTGAATTTATATTCTCTTGATTTTTGAATGTATGATTTTGAATCTCAAAATACTTGACAGGAATAGATAAAAACTTTTTTATTGAATTTGCATAAATTGTTTGATTACATATATTTCCAACTTAAATATACACAATAGTCTAAAAACACATAATATTAGCAAACAATATAATATATGTTTTATCACAGATATGCAGTTTAAACCCAAAGAAAGACACTATTTCAACAATACTGTTTTTAATAAGACTAATAAAATACACAAACACATTTTCTTTAAAATTATTTATCGTAACAAACATTTGCATATCAGTTTTAAAAATTTAGAACAACAAATTACATAGATTTTAAAGCACAGACAGTTTTTGAAATATAGAGCAATTATAATAATTTCGTAACAGCAATGTTTACACATTTTGAGCAACCATTTTAAAACTTAAACAATTTCAAGGAATTTGGTTTTGAAGCACTAACAGTTATAAAAATTTGAAGCAATTAATTTTATTGAATTTGGTACAATATAAAGTTTTAGAACTCAGCAAACAAATTACATTGATTTTGGAGGAACAGTTTAGAAATTTTAAGCAATTTAGAATAATTTATTTTATTGATTTCAAGACATAACTGTTTATAATTTTAAAATGAGGTCGAAATTTAATTGGTTTCAGAGCAGCTTCTGATTTAGAAGTTCGAAAGTGTAAATTATAATGATGACAGTTTTAGAAATTTGGGCCAAAAATTAGATTTTGAAACTGAAATGTTTATGCATACATTTAGAATATTTGAACAGTATAGAGCAATTTATTTTAACAATGGTTTAGCATATGGATGGTCCTAGCAGTAATGTTTATATGTTAGAAGCAAGCTCTAAAAATCTGGAGTGACATATTTATTCTCGAGGCAGTAACGCGATTGGAGCAAGCTTTTTGAAAAATAAAATACACTTGAAACTGCATTCAAAAAACAATTTTTTTTCAATCTATATTATGTAACCTTTTCTGGTATATACTTGAATTAAAGATACAGAAATGTTTTAAACCTAATTTATATTGCCTTTCCCCATAAATTTTGGGTTTAGAAAAACTTTGAAAATAAAAAAATTAATTTTTAATTAAGTAATTCTATTTTTAAATGATTGAAACAGTAATGTTAACAGTTAAATTTTGAATTCTAACATAATAGTTTTATATATTTTAAAGATTCATTTATTAATACAAAATACCTTAAATTTAAAAAAAAAAAATTAACTCTATGATAACTTGTTTTATTGAATTTTATGACAATCCACATAGTTCAAACGTTACACGATTCAGACTAATTGCTATTTCATGTGTAAAGAAAATAGCTTTTGGTAAATATATTTTACAAAAACCGAAGTAAATGCTTAAAAATATTTTAAAAATGACTAACTTTATTGGTGTACTATAAAAGCACTAAAATATTCAATCGATCCTCTGAGTAAATTGTGTTGAGAAACACTGCTGTAGAAAGTATAGGCAGAACTGTCGGACAAACACAATTCATTGATTGGAATCGGGTAGCTAAAAGTGCTCATAATAAAGATTGTACCAAAGACTTGGTGAATAAATGCATCCTGTCATGTATCGATTGCTCATAGTCAGTTCTTAAATAAACAATCCTTTGCAACTGGATGAATCACTTAGCCTAATCCTGTATTACTCGCATCTATAGATACAAACATTTTATAACCTTGAACTAGAAAACTAGTACAAATTGTACATTTGCATTATAATTTTAATTTACTTCGAAATACAACTAAATAGGGATTCAACGAATCAAAAGATAATAAATATATAGATAAAATATATACTGAATAATTTATAATTATTTGTTGAGAAATGCATGCATTAATAGTATTTATTCCATACTAATCAAGCAAACCTTTCCAATTCCAGTAAAATTGTCTTCGATTCCGGCTCCAAAGTTCTCGATGTAACAATTCAGAAATGACTTAAAGTTTATTAGAATTACCAATTTCTTTAAGCTTTGTTTTAAAAATAAATTACTATTTTTGGACTACCAATTAATAATTTTGCTACAAAAATGAACTGTTTTAAGCAAGTTTAGATTAAGGCTCGGATTAGGTTTGGCAAAATATAATTACTAAAAATAAATAAAATGTTGCTTGACTAGAGTCCAGGACTGACTCTATGGGATGCAACTTTGTAAAAAAAAAAAATGAAGCTTGGCTAGAATGATTTAAGTCAGGACTGAATCTATCTGACGCAATTTTGTAAAAGAGAAAATATATTAATCTTGAATAAGGCAATATGGATTGAATTAAAGTATTTCATCAATATAATTTCAATATTCACACATGTTAGACTATGTAAAGGCACAATTTCGGAATCACATGATATTGAATGGCAGAATTTGATATTCAACAGATAGGGGTGAATTGGACAAAACCGAGACCTAACAGTTATGACTGCACTACATCTGCTATTTATCAGAAATAGCATAAAACTAGTAGCAGACAGTAGCCATGCTATTTGGTGTGGGGAAAAAAGTGTAAGCTATTTATTTGTCAATGCTCGTGTCTTTAAAAAGCATTAAAAAAGGCATGATTTCTACCCAATTTTTTTTCTCTTTAATTTCTAATGGCTTGAAGATTTTTTTGATGAGTTCAACATCTAATTATACATCTTTTTAGCTGTTATTTACATTTTTAAAATATATATTACATCCATGTTTGAAGTATTTATCGAACAAAATCTGGGATTTTTTAAGCAGACTTCACCTACAATACCAAGCCTGTAGTTTTGCAAAGAAACATGAGCAGTTTTATTTGTGATTTCCGTTCTTTAAGAACAACTAAACATAATTACACTAATTTCTGTATGTAATTCCTTATGTTCTTTGATTTTTAGACCCCTGAATGTTCTTCAATTGATGGTGTTCATAATATTAATTTGTTGCTGTAAATAAATATTTCAGCTGAAAAAAAGTACATTTTTTATAATTTCTATGCATATCGATGTTTTATTGGGTAACCACATTAATTTTTCTTGCAAAATATATTTTATTTTTGCATTAAATAATTGTGATTTCTGGAGTTAAAAGCCTATTTCATCAAACAAACAAAAATGTAAGCAAATTTATTCATGGAATTTGCTAAGAAATAAAAAGTTAAGGACCTAGCTTTGTCCAGCTTCGCTCCCGTATTATGTTAAAAATGAGTCTCTAATAATATTTTACAAAATACATACTAACAGAATTTTAAAGATTATTTCCTAAAAGTCAGTTACTTTAGAACATATATTATATCGTATTAAATGTAACATGTAAATCAATGTTAGGTGCTGTCATAGATAGATCTTTTCTTATCATTTATTCACATATCTTAAGTATAAGAAAGTTAGGAGGTTGTAGGAGTAATGAACTAAGTGCTAAGTAAAACAACTATTTTTTCATCTACAATATTTGAAAACTACGTTTAGAAAACTAGTTCACACATATATTTGTAAGAATAACAACAAGATGTTAGCAAACCAATATAAAATTATAATTAAGAATTAGTGAAAGACTATTTAAATAAGCATTGTGAAATGAAATTAAAAAAGAGGATGCCATTTTCTAATATCAGAAAACTTAAGAAAGCAAAAAAAAAGAACTC